TCACTACATTTAATGTAAATTGTCTAAACATGCCAACTAAGAAAATGACTGTCAGATTGGATTTTTAAAAAAAGACTCAACTAGACCCAACAAGAAACCCACTCTAAATATAGACATAGATAAGTTAAATGTAAAAAGATGGAATAAAATATATCATGTAAACTTTAATCAAAAGAAATCAGGAGAGAGACTGGGTGCAATGGCTCACGCCTGTAATCCTAGCACTCTGGGAGGCCGAGGCAGGAGGATCGCTCAAGGTCAGGAGTTTGAGACCAGCCTGAGCAAGAGCGAGACCCCGTCTCTACTATAAATAGAAAGAAATTATCTGGACAACTAAAAATATATATAGAAAAAACTAGCCAGGTGTGGTGGCATATGTCTGTAGTCCCAGCTACTCGGGAGGCTGAGGCAGGAGGCTTGCTTAAGTCCAGGAGTTTGAGGTTGCTGTGAGCTAGGCTGATGCCACAGCACTCTGTCCCGGGCAACAGAGTAAGACTCTTGTCTCAAAAAAAAAAAAAAAAAAAAAGAAAGAAAGAAAGAAATCAGGAGTGGCAGTATTAATACCAAATGAAACAGACTTCAGAACAAGGAATATAACTTAAAGATGAGGAGATACATTAATATTAAAGGGTCAATTACTCAAGAAGACACAACAATCATAAATACGCATATACTCAACAGGAAGCTTCAATAAATGAAGCAAAAATTGCCAAAAAAAAGAAAGAAAAAAAAGAGGAGAAAAAGACAAATCCATAATTTAAAGAATTCAAAACTCCTTTGTTGATAATTGATAGAATAGGTAGACCCTAAGACCCACTACCAACCAACTTGACTTGCTTCACATTTATAGAACATTCCACCCATTGACAGCAGACTATATATTCACGTGAACACAGAACTTCCACTAAGAGAGACCATTCTAGGACATAAAACAAGTTTCAATAAATTTCAAAAAATTGAAACAGAATTAAGTTGCAAATCAATAATTGTTAACTGAAATAATTTTATATAAAAATCAAAAGCATTCTGCAAAACTATACTATCTACTTTTCACAGTAATGTAAATGTGATATAAAAACCACAAGGAATGATAAGCATCAAAATGAAGAAAATAATTATCTTTGGGAGAAAGAAAGTGGAATGGTAGTCAGAAAAGGCACACAGGGCTCAAACTCTTTCATTAATGTTTTATTACTTAGACAAGAGTTCAAGCAAAACAGGCAAAATGGCAAATGTGACCAATGTAGGTGGTACATGAGTACTCACATTATGCTCTATACTTCTCTGGATGCTCAAATTACATCATAATTGAAAATCAGAAAAAAGACTAGGAGGAAAGTTTCCAAAATGATAATATCTGTTATCTCTTAGTGGTAGGCTTATAATTTCATTCTTCTCAACTATATATACTGTCTAAATTTTTTATGGTACATGTGTATGGCTTTAATAAAGGTAAAAAAAATCAATGAAAGTTATGTATTTTAAAACTCACCTGATGAAGGCAGTCTGCTAACTGTCCACTAGAATCTACTTCTTCATAACAGACATTTACCCTTCTCTCGGCTTCAGCTGGATGCGTGGCTGGCTGTGCGGTTAGACACTGCAGCAGAGCAGGCTATGCGACAATACTTGCTGATGGAAGGCAGCTATGCTCACCACTATGCCACCAACGTAATCAATACTTGCTGATGGAATGATGGCATGTGAACAAAGGTAAGGCTTTTCCCCTTAAAACTGGGCATGTGTCCCTGCATTCCCCCATTCCCTACATGAGTTGAAGTGGGAATGAGATCCCAGCAAGCCAGCTTCTAACCATACAAAAACACCACCTCCCTGAGGGTGGTGGAGCAACAAAATGAGATTGGGACCCTGTACCACTTGTTTCCTTTGGCCTGTACATGAAAGCAAATTATCTTATTTCAGCCATTTTATTTTTGAATCTCTCTTGCCCCAGATTATCCAGCATGCTAATTAATAACGGAAGGAAGGACCACTTAAAGGCTATACCTTCCAGCTCTTGCACTGAAGATACCATTTAAGAACAATGCCCTACCGGCTGGGCGTGGTGGCTCACACCTGTAATCCTAGCACTCTGGGAGGCCAAGGCGGTAGGACTGCTTTGAGGTCAGGAGTTTCAGACCAGCCTGAGCAAGAGCAAGACGCTCGCTTCTACTAAAACAAAAGAAAGAAAGAAATTGGCCAACTAAAAACATATAGAAAAAATTAGCCGGGCATGGTGGCACATGCCTGTAGTCCCAGCTACTCAGGTGGCTGAGGCAGAAGGATTGCTTGAGCCCAGGAATTTGAGGTTGCTGTGAGCTAGGCTGACGCCACGGCACTCTAGGCCTGGCAACAGAGTGAGACTCTGTCTCAAAACAAAACAAAACAAAACAAAACACAATGCATTATCAATCTTTTAAAATGCAATCTAAGGCCGGGCGCGGTGGCTCACGCCTGTAATCTACTCGGGAGGCTGAGGCAGTAGGATCGCTTGAGCCCAGGAGTTTGAGGTTGCTGTGAGCTAGGCTGACGCCACGGCACTCACTCTAGCCTGGACAACAAACCGAGACTCTGTCTCAAAAAAAAAAATAAAAAAATAAAAAAAATAAAATGCAATCTAAACTCACATTAAAAATCAGGCAATGAATCTCCACAATTAACCTATAAATTCAATGCAATATTTCAATGTAAATTTCATTAAGATTTTTCATGAAATGTGACAAACTAATTAAATTCATACGGAAGAGCCAGGCACAGTGGCTGATGCCTCTAATCCTAGCATTCTGGGAGGATGAGGCAGGAGGACTGCTTGAGGCCAGGAGTTTGAGATCAACCTAGTAAAACCTTGTCTCCACAAAAAAATAAAAAAGTTAGCTAGGTGTGGTGGTGTGCGCCTGTAGTCCCAGCTACTCGGGAGGCTGAGGCAGGAGGATCGCTTGAGCCCAGGTGTTGGAGGTTGCAGTGGGCTGTGATGACACCACTGTACTCTACTCCAGGAAACAGAGTGAGGCCATATCTCAAAAAAAAAATTTATATGAAAGAAAGGTACAAAAATAGGTAAGAAAAATTATCAAAATAACAGGATTTACCTTGTATCAAAATACAAAATTATAATAACTTAAAAAGTGTGATATTAGCACATAAATGGTCAGATAAATAGAACAGAGTAAAGAAACAGGCTTCTATAAATGGAAATAAGCAATAAAGGAAAAAAATGAATAAAACTGACAACATAATTCAAAACATCTATGACCAAACACATATATAAACACCACAAACTGACTAGCTTCTACCTTTCATTACAAAGGGAATCAAGCAAAATAAGCACTTGAAATGACAGTGTGATAAATTCAATGGGTATTAAAGGACAATAATTTCTTTTGTCTTAATAAATTTTAAATAAGAAAACTATTTCTACACTCTCAGATCAGTAAAAGAAAAAAAGAAAGAAAACTGAAGACTCATAGGCAAATATATGTGAGATAAAAGTCTAATACCAGTCGGACGTGGTGGCACATGCCTTTAATCCTAGCACTCTGGGAGGCTGAGGAGGATCACTTGAACTTAGGAGTTCAAGACCAGCCTAAGCAAGAGCTGTCTCTACTAAAAATAGAAAATTAGTGGCGTGGTGATGTGAGCCTATAGTCCCAGCTACTGGGAAGGCTGAGGCAGGAAGATCACTTGAGCCTAGGAGTGAGGTGGCAGTGAGCTATAATGACACCACTGCACTCTACCTGGGGTAACAGAGCAAGACTCTGTCTCAAAAAAAAAGTCTAATAACAACTCACACATACTTTGAAAAGTTAGTGAATGGAAGTGAAGCTAAGATTTGCTCTACCCTAAGATATACATGTACATACATTTTTAGGTTGCAGACAGAAGTGTTGAACTGAAAAAAGGCTGGGGATGGAAGCAAAGATGGGTTTTGGTTGTGGACTGCTGCACTTTAAGCCCCAATGAACTATAAGCAATCGTTTATTATTTGAACTGGTTGCTCTCTTCTTCCATAAGACAGATGGTCAGGACTCAGCAGCAGTTTCCAAGATGTGCTTACATCAACCACCCTCCTTAACTGTTCTTCAGAGTGCGCCACACAGCAGAAATACCAAGATGATCACCTCATTCCATCTCCAGATTTCAAAAGAGAAAAAAAATTGACCACCATGGCCACTCTGCGTTTCAGTAGGGCCCTTATTAGCAGGCCTGTCCAGACCCCCCACATCTACTTGCTGCTCCCCCACACTGCTGCTCTCCCACACTGCTGCTCCCCCACACTGCTGCTCTCCCACACTGCTGCTCTGTGATCGCCAGCTCTGAGCAGAGGCCACACCCGAGGAGCTACTTCAAAATGTGCTGGCTCTGTGTACTTCATAGAACACACTACACACGGTGATGTAGGGAAACGATTTTATAACCCAGTTGTTTTCAATAAGTCAGTGATTTTCTTCGCATTAAAAAGTCTGGGCCAGGTGCAGTGCCTCATTCCTGTAATCCCAGCACTTTGGGGGGCCAAGGCAGGAAGACTGCTTGAGCCCTGTAGTTTGAGACCAGTGTGGGTAACATAGCAGAGATCCTGTCTCTACAAAAATTTTTTTAATTAGCTGGGTGTGGTGGCGCGTGCCTTAAGTCCCAGCTATTGGGAGGCTGAAGCAGAAGGATAGCTTGAGCCCAGGAGTTTGAGGCTGCAATGAACTATGATCTCATCACTGCACTCCAGCCTGAGTGACAGAGAGAGACACTGTCTCTTAAAAAAACCCAAAAAACCAAACCGAAAACCCCAAAATAGCAAAAAACAATTCTGGAAATATTTTAATCTATTTTTAACTCAATAGAGTAATTCATAGGAAAACTAAATAATCAGCCAAAATGAGTTTCTTGCTATTTTTCAACTAGAACCTTTTAAAACAAAAAATTTAAAACATACCTTCTTGTCCTACCCAAATGATGGAATATTGTACTAATGCTTCAGAGAGTAACTGTATTAATGAAACATCAACAAGTACAGATAAACATTTTAATTGATTAAATATATTATTTTCAAGATTTTTTTTGAAATCGCACTTGTACTGTACTAATCAACAGCCAAAGGCAATAAAAAAGTTTAAAACCAAAAATGTTCTGACATGAACACCTGACAGGAATTGCTGCTACTGAAGTAACACACACTGCTCCCGAGAACAATGACATTTTTAGAAGATAATTCATCTTAACATGTGTAAGAACAAATTTGGAATCAAAGGCTGGAAGAAATATATATTAGTGCCTGCTTTTTAAAAGTTTATTTTACATTTTAAATACAGTATTTTTCTCATTAGAAAAAAAAAAGCCAGGAAGTGCCCAACTCCATGGTTTCTATCCCATATGTACGTGAGAGCTAACAGACAGCGGACAAATGTTCTGGGTATAACAGTATGGCTACTTATGAGATGGGACTACTTCTGAAACAAAATTTAAAAACACAAATTAAGCACTGCTTAAGAGAAAATAATCCAGTTTCTGAACAACCAAAAAATAACAGAGTTAGATATGTATAAAACCAGGTATTAAAAAACAGAAAGAAATGCAACACACAAAAAACTCAAACAGCCCATATGTAGTGAACTGTATATACTGCAGCTAATCAATGGAAACCTTCCTACAAGAAGTGATTTATGATTTAAATTTTAAAAATCTAAGTATTTCAGTAACAACATATAATAACAACATTAAGTATATATTGCCATCTTTGTCATTTTCTATTGACCACCCTCCCATCTGGAAATGAGAATCTCTAGACTAGCCAATCACACGAATTTGAGGCAATTAATCCATATTTGTTTTCTTTACTGAAAACAGAAAAGATCTACCTCTTCCCATTAATAAAGACATAATACAGATTAAAGCTATAAAATTTAAGCATGGGGATGTGCATTTCCAATTTTCTTTAATAAGCAATTCCAAACTGGAATCATGTAGGGTTTGTGCCTAGTAGTAACAAATTAAAAGAAAACGGACTGTCTCTGGCAGTGATTTCCATATTAGTGCAAAGTTATTTCCCATACACTGAATTACATTTAAATGATTTTATGTATTTTAATCCAGTAGGTGCCAATTTGAGTTTACAAAACCTCTAAATGTATTCTTTGTGCAGAAAAGTTTCAATTTGAGATGCTCTATGAAGCCAAATCAAAACAACAATTAATTTTATTTTGCTACTAGTAATATGAATACCAAATAAAGAGACAAGGACTGAAAGTTTGTAGAAGCTCTCAAAGGATGTCTGATGTGTTCTATGTATCTTGATACTTCAATTATCAAATGGGTTTGCACATTCTAGTTTAAGATTATCTCAGAAAGTAATTCTCTGTGGTGTAACTCTACACTAAACAGCTACACCTAAAAGCAAAACCAATCAAGGTCACTTGAACAAGATCAAATTGAGGCAATTTCTTTTTCTATTATAATCTGTGAGGTCTTGAGTTTTTAACTTTTAAAAGTTATGACCTTCAATCAAAGCCAGCTGCACTTGATGTAGACTATTAAACTTAAGGATTTCAAATTAGAGGGCGCTGTATCTATGGGCTCTCATAAAACATATGGAGGAGGCAGCAATGGACTAACCATCAGCCAGGTAAGGTCAATGTTGGGATGTTTTATTTCAGAGACTTTAAATATTTAACACGTAGCTCATGTAACTTCAGCATCCACTAGTGACTTTGTTGGTCAGCACCCAAGGGCTGGATGAGTCTGAGGAAGCCTTTTTAACCCCAAAGTATTAATGCTAAAAGGTCTCAAGGAAATTCTATTCCCAACAAGAGTTTACAAACCATCAGACCAAAATCAATAAGTAAACACTGACTCCAATGCTCCACCAAAGTCAAAAGAAATTTCCAAATTAAATGCCATCTTTTACCCAACCCTAGACTCCAGACTTTGTAACAACATCTTTATCTAGTATAATAGACTCTGTAGTAGACTGATTTTGACCTCCACAAAGAGTAGGAGTTGTCAAACTTGAGGAGATAGACTCCTCTCCCTGGATATTGGTGGCTGCCAGCATACACTTCCTCATGACAGTCCCGTCGATACACAGGCACAATCTCATCCAGCAGAGGTTTGTTGGCATTCTTTTTGGCTTTCTCTTCACAACTAATGTTTTCTGTGAGAGAGAACAGAGACAAGTCAATGATTCAGGAAAAGCACATTTGCATCAAGCAATTAAACTCTATCCTTTCTTTGAGCAATGGCTTGTTAGAAATTTTGCTGAACCATTCTACAAGTTATGGGCATGTAAGCACATATTCTTTCAAATACCTGAGTACCTGCTATGTACCAAGCACTGTTCTGGGCCCTGGGAGTCCAGTGGTGAACATCTTGTGTGGGAACAGTCAGCATCCTGTCCCTCCCTGTGCTCTTACTACTGCTCCTGTTTCTGGACCCCATTTTCCCCCTTCCATCTATCTCCATTCAATTTCTAACTCCTCCCCAAAAGGAGGAATCTCACTCATCTAAGAAAAAGGAAAATGGTGCTGAGCTTCCTTCTCAATAATGTGAGAGTCTTCTCCATTTTACTAAGAGGAGAATATCACTTAGGACTACTGCTTTCTGCATATCTTAAAAATGTAAAGAGTAAGGCCGGGCGCTGTGGCTCACGCCTGTAATCCTAGCTCTTGGGAGGCCGAGGCGGGCGGATTGCTCAAGGTCAGGAGTTCAAAACCAGCCTGAGCAAGAGCGAGACCCCGTCTCTACTATAAATAGAAAGAAATTAATTGGCCAACTGATTATATAATATAAAAAGAGCCGGGCATGGTGGCACATGCCTGTAGTCCCAGCTACCGGAGAGCTGAGGCAGAGGATCCTCGAGCCCAGGAGTTTGAGGTTGCTGTGAGCTAGGCTGACGCCACGCACTCACTCTAGCCTGGCAACAAAGTGAGACTCTGTCCAAAAATAAACAGAATGTAAAGAGTAAAATGAAAAAACCACAGGAAGGAGGTTTCAGAGACACCCTGAAAATTCAATTATTTTCACTATGCCTATTTAACCCAGAGATTAAGTGGCAAAAAACCAAGCTCTGATTATAGATTTGCCCCAGTTAGTAGTTTTCTGAACTGTAATGATATGAAGTTGGTAGGAAAAAACCCTCTAGAAACCTACAGGAATGAGAAAATTATAAACCAGCTTAAAAGTCTTAGTTTAACATACTAAATATAAAAAACCTGGGATACCCTGATGGTTCATGTAGATAACAGTACAGAATAAAAATAGTTGAAAAACTTAATTAGTATTAAATTAAACAAAGGCCAGGCGTGGTGGTTCATGCCTGTAATCCTAGCACTCTGGGAGGCCGAGGCGGGTGGACTGCTCAAGGTCAGAAGTTCAAAACCAGTCTGAGCAAGAGCAAGACCCCGTCTCTACTATAAATAGAAATTAATTGGCCAACTAAACATATATATATATATATATATATATATATATATATATATATGTAAAAAAAAAAATAGCCAGGCATGGTGGTGCATGCCTGTAGTCCCAGCTACTTGGGAGGCTAAGGCAGGAGGATCACTTGAGCCAGGAGTTTGAGGTTGGTGTGAGCTAAGCTGATGCCACAGCACTCTAGCCTGGGCAACAAAAAGTGAGACTCTGTCTCAAAAAAAAATTAATTAATTAATTAAACATTAACTGCTAAATTGAACACTAAATTAAACTTAATTTCACGAAGTGCTATAGTATACATGCTGTGTGTGTTTTTATACATGACCCCAGAGGGCCCAGAGTGTGGCACCGTGCGGTTATAGAATTGAGCAACTCTATGCCTCAAAAGTTGAGTGAACTTTTTAGGCTTGCTCCATGCACTTCCAACAATAATTGATTTTATATTTTATCTTTATATTGATCCCAGTATAATCCCTATAAAACAACATTGACAACCCTCTTCAAGAACAAGCAGTCTATTTACAAGTCACCTGAAAGGTCAGTTAGTCCCGAAGAACTGAGACAGGGTGCTTTCCATTCTTACCATCAGGGCTCCTTCATATCATTCTCAGTCAGGTTAACAAAATTTAAGTGCTAACTAGGTGTGTATAAAAGTCCCAAGTTCTAACATTTCTGAGTAACAAAATTAAGATGACCATCTTCTTAACCACTTCAGGACGAGCGTAGACTACAGTCGACAGCCACAGATGAACGCGAACAGTGACTTTAGTCGACAGCCGTGATATAACTTTTCTAATTTTTCATTTATCAAAATAAAATTGTGAACATTTAAAAACAACGTAATGAAAACATATATGTATTATGTTACCTATTCTAATTTACAGGACAAGTAAAGCTGCCTGTAAAGTAAAACAAGCTTTCAGTGCTTTAAAGCTTTCCTCATCACACAAGAGCAAAACGGATCCGTCGTCAATGCGCAGCGCACACTGTCGTGCGGACTGTGAGTGCGGCTGTGGGCAAGGTTGTGCGGACAGTGAGCGCCAGACCAAAGTGGTTAATAAGCAATACATTTTATAACCTACTTCCCAGGTCAAGATAGTGTAGACTGACCTTGAAAACACCCAATTTTGTCTACTTATTCAGAGAAAATAAAAAATTCCACTCTAGTAAAATAGGGATTTCCAAAGGGAAGAATAATTGAAATTTCTTTAGGTGGAATGTTCTGGTGAGTTTCTGTATTTACATAAAAAAATCTTAAAAGAATGACCTAAAAAGCTATTATCAGAAACGTAAATTTAAATAAATTCTAGGGTCGACAGAAATTTTTACACGTTCCTTTAAAATTTTTCAAAATCATCTTGCATATCTGGCTTTTCAGCATATAAGGCTGGAACTAAAATGGTATTCAGAAAGCAGTAAAATGGCAAATTACCAAACAGACTTTCCTGACATTCAGAAAAATTCAGGTTCAGGTCCCAATCCCCTATAGGAAGCTGGCATCTCTTACAACCCTGTCAGCTCAAGGTCCACTAATGAAGAGGCTGTTCCCTGACCAAGAAGTGTTCATTAGGAAGCATATGGCTTCAGGTATATCTGAACCATGTACCATTTTTGCCAACACAGAACTCAGCAGCTACTGAATACAGACCAATGGTTCTACCTTCCTCCTCCTCGTCGTCATCACTGGACTCGCTGACATGTACGCTGACAGCAGTGTTTGGAGAGTCTGTCCATTCAAAATACACCCCAAACCCAATGTCATAATTGTCTGTAGCAAATTCCCAAAAGAGGTATGATCCTTCTTCGTGGGTGGGTACTCGAACAGTGACCACTTCTCCTCGGCCCACTGTAATCACGGAATCTGCATCCTGCCGAATCTTCTCTTTAAAGTCTTTGATCTGGGGTCTTGTCCACATGGATGGAGCTGCTATTACTGGAAGAGAGTCTAAAGGCAACAGGAATTACAAAAGCTAAATTGAAAGAGCCTTCACCCTGTAGGCAGCAATATTTACATAGGACCACCTGTCCAGCTGCAGTCAGGCACCAAGTACGCTATGGTCTAGCTTACTTAGATGAGGAAGTCGGAGGAATATAAAAGCCTCCCTAGGAGTTTCTCCAGATTAGTACATTTAACAATGCCACAGGTACTCACAGCTCATTGTATTACTTTAAGTAACAAATACAAGCCTCAATCTCTGAAGTGATTTTTTGCAATACTCTAATTATAAACAGGGGATTTAAGAGTGACTTTGGAAACTCCCTGACTGGAGCTACAGAAACATTCTGGCAAAGAAGAGAGATCTGGACCTAAGAATAAATTACTCTTTTGGATATAAACAGAGAAAACTGGGCTCTCATTTCAGCTTAGCTGTTGGGAAAAAGTCTTAACCTCTGAGAATCCCACATTTCCTTGTAGCTATTCTAAATGATCTCAAAGAAACAGAAAAGTTTGGACAGATTAGACTCACTAGAGACTGAGAAAAAGGGTAAAGTCTTGTTACGGAGCAGTATCTATGTGCACTGACCTGCCCAACTCTTCCAGAGTTAATTACAGAGACTTTTATGAAAAAAATTTTCTCATTTAAAAATCCCTTGATAAGAAAGTTTGGGGGCAGTAAACCAAGGGATTTCAAAGTCTTTTCTGAAGCCATCTTCATTTACTTGTTCTAAAAAGACGAGGAAGGCCAGGTGTGGTGGCTCACAACTGTAATCCTAGCACTCTGGGAGGCTGAGGCAAGAGGATTGATTGAGCTCAGGAGTTTGAGACCAGCCTGAGCAAGAGCAAGACCCCATCTCCCATCTCTACTAAAAACAGAAAAATTAGCTGGGTGTCATGGTGCACGACTATAGTCCTAGTGACTCAGGAGGCTGAGGCAGGAGGATAGCTTGATCCCAGGAGTTTGAGGTTGCAGTGAGCTATGATGATGCCACTGCACTTTAACGGGGGTGATGAAGTGAGACTCTGCCTCAAAATAAAAATAAAAAGATATTGCCTCTATTAACTTGTGACAAAAAAAAAAAAAAAAAGATAAGGGCCGGGCGCTGTGGCTCACGCCTGTAATCCTAGCTCTTGGGAGGCCGAGGCGGGCGGATTGCTCAAGGTCAGGAGTTCAAAACTAGCCTGAGCAAGAGCGAGACCCCGTCTCTACTATAAATAGAAAGAAATTAATTGGCCAACTGATATATATATATATAAAAATTAGCCGGGCATGGTGGCGCATGCCTGTAGTCCCAGCTACCCGGGAGGCTGAGGCAGAAGGATCACTCGAGCCCAGGAGTTTGAGGTTGCTGTGAGCTAGGCTGACGCCACGGCACTCACTCTAGCCTGGGCAACAAAGTGAGACTCTGTCTCAAAAAAAAAAAAAAAAAAAAAAAAAAAGATAAGGAAGATCTTTGAAATCAAATTTCTTATGATCCACACCACCATCCCTGACCACTGTCACTGAAATGCTCTTTTCTTCCTCCTTACTTAGTTAACTCCTACTCCTGCCTCAGCTCTCTCTACTAGATTGTCCCTTTCTCAGGAAAGCCTCTGGTGACCTGACTAGGTGATACCCACCATAACACAATACATGTTCTCAAACTGTAGTGTAGCTCTCTCCACTGTAGTACTTAACTACAGCTATAATTCACATTTTCTCTATTTATTGTGCCTCACCACTGTACCCCTGCACTCAGAAAACCTTCACCCAATTGTTGATTGAATGAATAAGCTGCCCATGGAAAGCTAGCAGAACTCTGAAAAGTCAGAGCTATCTTCTAGGCAATATGGTCCTTTAGTCTCAAAAAATATAGTTATATATCATAGCCAGCCTCCAAGATGGCCCCAGTGACCTTCACTTCCAGGTCTTCATGCACTTGGGAGGTTCAACACGCACAATATATCAGAGTTGGTATGTGTGACCAACAGAATACGGCAGAAGTGCTAATGTATTACTTCCAAAGTCAGGCTTTGACATAAAAGGCACTGACACTTCTGCCTTACTCTCTTTTGGATCATGTGCTCAGGGGGAAGCCAGCCACTGTGTGTTGAGAACATTCAAGTAACCCTATGGAGAGGTTTCATGGGGCAAAGAACTGAGGCCTCCTGCCAACAGCCAGCATCAACTTGCCAGCCATGTGAAGGAACCATTTTGGAAGCAGATCACCTAGCCCCAGTCAAGCCCTCACATGACTACAGCCCCAGCCAACATTTTGACTGCAACTTCATGAGAGACCTTAAGCCAGAACCATCCAGCTAAACTGCTCCTGAAACCCTGACCCACAAAAACTGTGTGAGATAATACATTTTTTTTTTCTTTTTTTGAGACAGAGTCTGGCTCTGTTGCCCAGGCTAGAGTTCTGTGGCATCAGCCTAGCTCACAGCAACCTCAAAATCCTGGGCTCAAGCAATCCTTCTGCCTCTGCCTCCTGAGTAGCTGAGACCACAGGTACATGCCACCATGCCCAGCTAATTTTTTTTCTATATACTTTTAGTTGACCAATTAATTTCTTTCTATTTTTAGTAGAGATGGGGTCTTGCTCTTGCTCAGGCTGGTCTCAAACTCCTGACCTCGAGCGATCCTCCTCCTGCCTTGGCCTCCCAGGGTGCTAGGACTACAGGCGTGAGCCACCGCGTCCAGCCATAAATGTTTTTGTTAGTTTAAGCTGCTAAATTTGGGTGTAATTTGTTACATAGTAATAAATAATCAATATACCTAATAAGACAAATGACATCTTTTGTCTTAAAAGTGTCCAAAAGCCATCTGATTTGCTCCTCTATACTATTGTAAGGGTCTCCAGAAGCATGAGATTCTGACTAAAAAAAGTGAAAAGGTGTTTCACTCTCATAAATATGTAATCACTCTCAAAAGCTAGTTAACCTGACCTTGTGAATTTGCTTTTAATGGAGTCTGAACTATAACACGTGGAAGAACACATATGCCAAACCATACCTTTTGGTCCATTCTCTAGGGCTTTTTCTGCAGCTTCTGGGTCAAGTTCTTTTTCGGAGTTGTCAATGTGGGTTTTGGCCTGTCCATTAACTGACATCATATCACTTGGTGCAGTTGCATTCACTTTTGATGACGCAGGCAAAGAAGCCCCAGCCGCTATGACTTCCTGTTGTTTCTGTAATGCTGCCTACAAGTGGAGGAAAGGAAGACACACTGACCAGGAAGACTAACAAATGGGACATTGCCCTGGAGTGCACTCTGACCACATGCTTTTGCCCTACCAAAGTACTCTGCTCCAAGAAAGCACTAATACACTTTTTTTTTTTTTTAGACAGTCTCATTCTTTCACCCCAGCTAGAGTGCAGTGGCGTCATCACAGCTCACAGCAACCTCAAACTCCTGGGCTCAAGTGATGCTCACGCCTCAGCCTCCCAAGTACCTAGGACTACAGGTGTGCACCACCACACCCGGCTAATTTTTTCTATTTTTTGTAGAGACTGAGTCTCACTCATGCTCAGGCTGGTCTCGAAACCCTGGTCTCAAGTGATCTTCCACCTCAACCTCCCGAGTAGCTGGGACTACAGGCATGCACCACCACGCTCGGCCTAATTTTTGCCTATTGTTTTATTTTGGGGTGAGTATTTCTGTCTACTTTAACTTTTCTTGCTTAACTTTTCTAGTGATTCTGAGATCACAAAAGTGTGAATATCAGTTATAGTGTCTTATGCACACTAATTTTTATCATTTTTAGCTATCAGTTTGATATTGTGCTATTCATTATAGACAGGATAAAAACATAAAAGTTTATGGCAGGGCACAGTGGCTCACACCTGTAATCCTAGCACTCTGGGAGGCCGAGGTGGGAGGATTGCTCAAGGTCAGGAGTTTGAAACCAGCCTGAGCAAGAGCAAGACCCTGTCTTTACTATAAATAGAAAGAAATTAATTGGCCAATTAAAAATATATAGAAAAAATTAGCTGGGCATGGTGGTGCATGCCTGTAGTCCCAGCTACTCAGGAGGCTGAGGCAAAAGGATTGCTTGAGCCCAAGACTTTGAGGTTGCTGTGAGCTAGGGTGATGCCACAGCACTCTACAGCATTCTAGCCTGGGCAGCAGAGTGAGACTCTGTCTCAAAAAACCCCAAAAAAACAAACAAAAAAACTTATCAAAGTTTATTAGTGGCCAGGTACGGTGGCTCATGCCTATAATCCTAGCACTCTGGGAGGCTGAGGTGGGAGGATCACTTGAGCCCAGGAGTTTGAGGTTACACTGAGCTATGATGATGCCACTGCATTCTAGCCTGGGTGACAGAGCAAGACCTTGTTGCAAAAAGAAAAAAGGCAAAAGCTGAACTCCATAATATGTGTTCTTAAAATTGCTGAAAGAAGAAAATCTTCTTGATAAAATTCAAATTAGAAAAATTAAACTTGGTGGAAACAAATGGTCACAGAAGAAAATTCACAAAGGCTGAAGCCATAATTGATAAAATCAGATATGGACTCCCAAAGGAACCAATAAATCAAGTATGGACAATTATTTTAATATTGACAAAAATAATCAATAAATTAAATAATCACAGAAAATGTATGACAATTAAATTGAAAACTGTTAATGTTATTAAAAAATACTGACCTAAGAATTAAATAGGCTTATCAAATGGAGTTTGAGGTAAAAATATTTTGTCAATGAAAATTTGTCACTATTTACATAATTATGATTAAAATGTGTATCCATCAATATGAAGTCAAAATGTCCTCTGAGTCAAAAATGGGAGTAAAAACATCTTAAACCCAAAGGACAACTACTTTTTCTTTTTTTTTGGAGACAGAGTCTCACTCTCTTGCCTAGGCCAGAGTGCCATGGAGTCAGCCTAGCTCACAGCAACCTCAAATTTCTGGGCTGAAGGGATCCTCCCGGGTAGCTGGGACTACAGGCATGCGCTACCGTGCCCAGCTAATGTTTTTCTATTTTTAGTTGTTTGGCTAAATTCTTTCTATTTATAGTAGAGACAGGGTCTCTCTCTTGCTCAGGCTGGTCTCCAACTCCTAAGCTCAAGCAATCCTCCCGCCTCGGCCTCCCAGAGTGCTAGGATTACAGGTGTGAGCCACCTTGCCCAGCCCAAAGGACAACTACTTATAAATCAAGAAGATACTTCCCCTTCTAAATCTGATAGATACTACTTGAAATATTTAACATTGGCCGGGCACGGTGGCTCACGCCTGTAATCCTAGCTCTCTGGGAGGCCGAGGCGGGCGGATTGCTCGAGGTCAGGAGTTCGAAACCAGCCTGAGCAAAAGCGAGACCCCGTCTCTACTATAAATAGAAAGAAATTAATTGGCCAACTAATATATATATACAAAAAATTAGCCGGGCATGGTGGCGAATGCCTGTAGTCCCAGCTACTTGGGAGGCTGAGGCAGGAGGATTGCTTGAGCCAGGAGTTTGAGGTTGCTGTGAGCTAGACTGACGCCACGGCACTCACTCTAGCCTGGGCAATAAAGTGAGACTCTGTCTTAAAAAAAAAAAAAAAAAAAGAAATATTTAACATTACTTAAGTAATTTTGGAGAGAATTATACGTATAGAAAAGTATGCAAATCATACACTATACAATTTGATCAATTTTCAGAAATCAAACATATCCATAGAATCAACACTCAGATCAAGACATTATCTACATCCCAGAACCCTCTTTTGTACTCCTTTCTGGACACCTTCCCCAAGGGTTACAACCATTCTGACTGTAACACTACAGATTTGCTTTGCCTATTTCTATCTAAACTTTATATAAAGGGATTATATGGTATGTGCTCTTTTTTATGTCTGGCTTCTTTCACTCAACATTGTTTTTGTAAGGTTCATCTATAGGGTCACAAGTAATTATATTTTGTTGTCTGCATTTATTAGAGGATATTCCATTGTGAAAATATAAAATTGACTTATCCATTCTACTGCTGACAAGCATTGGGGCATGTAAGTAATGTTATAAACTAAAACACCAAGTCACAAGTAAGCATATGTTCACTGTAGTAATAAATAAATAAATAAGGAAAACACCCTTTATAATCCTGGTTTAGGGACGATGACGTATTTTGGCATATCTCTACACACGTCTCATTTACAAGCCAATTACTTAAATGAACAGCAACAACTTTTTCTGCTGCTAGTATATGCTAGTCACACATTTAAGATTTTAAAATACTTTCTCCAAGGCCTAGATTTTCAGTAATTTTTGTATGAGTTTTCTAGAAAGAATACCAGCTTCCAGAAAAAGTACATACAACCAAAACAAGTTAGCATGCTTCGAACATTCACTGCATGACAGGAAAGCAAAAAAGCATTCTTGCTGATGATCAGTAAGCCCAGCTCAAACAGGTCCTCTCCACTAAGCCTTTCTTGAAAGGCTCTAGCAGAATAAACTCCCTTCTCTGAGATTCCACTGCTCATGAATCTACTGTATGGCATACAATAAGACTGCAGTTATTTATTTACATACTCTCTTTTCTATACTTTAGAAAGTTTTTAAAAAGCACAGAAAGGTATGGGAACAACATGGCAAATACCCCTCCCCATGTAACTACATCTGAAAATTAACAAGTATTCCCATTTTGTCATTGTGCTCAGTATTTATTTTTTTTTGAGACAGAGTCTCTCTTTGTTGCCCAGGCCAGAGTGAGTGACATGGCGTCAGCCTAGCTCACAGCAACCTCAAACTCCTGGGCTCAAGCAATCCTACTGCCTCAGCCTCCCCAGTAGCTGGGACTATAGGCATGCGCCACCATGCCCGGCTAATTTTTTCTATATATATTAGTTGGCCAATTAATTTCTTGTTATTTATAGTAGAGACGGGGGTCTCGCTCTTGCTCAGGCTGGTTTCGAACTCCTGACCTCGAGCAATCCGCCCGCCTCGGTCTCCCAGAGTGCTAGGATCACTGGCTTGAGCCACCTCGCCCGGCCTGCTCAGTATTTATATAAAAATTAATACTTTATAGTGGTGAAGTTCCCTTTGTTCCTTCTCCATTCTCTTTCCTTCTCTCTTCCCAGAGGAAACCAATCAATTCAATAAACTGACTTTGATTGTTCTAATCTCAATTATGGCTTCTCAATTCCATTTCAAAGATTCATGGTTTTGCCCTACCTGACTGAGTTTCTTCTCATTAAGTGACAGCAACCTATGAACGGACACTGTGTATGGGCTATCCTATTAAAAAATTATAGGATTTTGGCTGGGCATGGTGGCTCACACCTATAATCCTTAATCCTAGCACTCTGGAAGGCCAAGGGAGGGAGGTGGACCGCTCAAGGTCAGGAGTTTGAAACCAACCTGAGCAAAAGTGAGACCCTGTCTCTATTAAAAAATAGAAAGAAATTAATTGGCCAACTAAAAATATATAGAAAAAATCAGCTGGGCATGGTGGCGCATGCCTGTAGTCCCAGCTACTCAGGAGGCTGAGGCAGAAGGATCGCTTGAGCCCAGGAGTTTGAGGTTGCTGTGAGCTAGGCTGACACCACGGCACTGTAGCCAGGGCAACAGAGTGAGACTCTGTCTCAAAAAAAAAAAAAAAAAAAAAAAAAAAAAATCATAGGATTCTAATCCTGCCCATTAAAGAAGCAGAAAAAAGGAAATGATATGCTAAAGTAGAAACTTTTGAGGACAGAAACTAAATCCCTCAAAAACCCACTTATTATCTTGAATAAACTCTAGTTTGGCATCTTTTCCTCCTCTCTTGGATTATACAAAACCTTTAGTGCTTTTTAACTTCTTACTGATGCCAAAAACTCAGGGCAAAAGGTATTTTAGGTAAGGATATATACTTTCAAGAAATTCAAAGAGTTTGGCAAAAATAATAGATTACTTCATGTAACAAGAAATGCTGAATAACTATAGTGTAACACTTTTCTTCACTCAGATTTTTTGACAGGTATTAACTGCTTTATAAGTGAAAATTAAATTAAACTCAGATAGGTTACGTTTAAGGAGGCATTTTATACCTCCACAAGATATAAAAAGTGAATGTAAAATCAGTATCTTCCATATGTACAAAACACTTTCATAGGGTATGTTCTCATTTTATTCCTTTGACAGTCCTGTGATGTTAACAGGACAGGTACTTTAATTTTATATCCTATTCTTATAGACTGGGAGAAAAGCTAGAAAAGTCAGAGCAGTTATAGCTTATCTGAGATCAAACAAGACAATGGCAAAGCCAAGAGAGAATCCAAGTGTTACCAGACCCCCAGTCCCATGTTCTTTCACCTAAACTACCTTCTTATATGTGGAAGCAAAATATTTGGGGGTAGGGAATTGGAGGAGGACTACCAATGTGCTGTCTTGAGCACTGTCTAGGTATGGTGCCTAACACAAAAGTTAAAAGGGGCTCAATCTAGCTCTGTAGAACTAGCCCATGGCCTTAGGGGAGGGTAGTCCTCCCATCAGAAGCTGTCTGGGCCTTTGACAGTGCACTGCCTGAAGGATGTCAACAAACTAAGGCCAGTTACCCAGATCGTCACGGGTCTATGCCAGACTTACTGTAAAGACAGTTGGCCCATTTGACTCCCAAAGACCTTTATGACAATATAACATCATCTGTTGTTTCAATATCATGTATTTTTTCTCATAATTACTAGTGCCATTCTACAGTTTACCTAAAAGATTACCTAAAAGTTACTTTATACCTTAGAGGCTATCTAATGCAAAATTCATTGGCAGATGTTAAAAATAACTTGAGTTCCAATGAAACCAAAAACCCTCTCTAAGGCTGAATTCTGGGGTTGTCTATCGTACCTGTTGCTGTGCAAGCTGGACTTGATACAACTGCTGCATATACTGCTGATAGTGTTGCTCCTGCAACTGGCGGATGAGAATTTGCTGCTGTTCGTAGTTCCCTGGATACTGTTGGGCTGCATACTGCTGGAACTGCACTGCAGTCTGGGAGTTTAAAGCTGCCATTATCTGCTGCCTAAAAACATTAAAAATATATATACTAGTCTGACTACAGGAGATTGTTCATGACAAAATACAATGTCCTTATTACTTATTTTTATAGTTTGTAATTCTTAAAAATGACTAAACTAATAATGTATACCAATCAGCATGTGTCCCAGACCCAGAAGAAAGATTTAAGAAAATAAATCTGGCTGCTAATTTTTACTTAGGTTTTTCATGGAAAATTCAGGATGGAGAATAAGGATATGATCATCATCACCAGTACCATGATAATTACTAATACTTATTGTGCCCTTACTATGCACCATGCAGTGTTCAAAGCACTTACATGTATTAACCATTTAGTCCTCACAACAACCCTATGAATTTCACAGGGTTCAGTAACTTGCCCAATATAACAGCACTAGTGCATGCTAGAGCCAGGATTCAAATCCAGGTGATCTGGGTCCACAGCTATACTAGTTAACCATGATGCTGTAAGAGGATAGACTGTCATCTATGGTGAGGATGAGGTATTTACTTAACTGTTGGCTATGTGTTCTCTATCTAAATACAAGAAAAACATTAAGAGGCAGAAGAATAGTTAAAAGATGTTATGAGTGTCTCTGGTAAGTACAAATAAAGCCAGTCAAAATGTGAAGGTCCATAGTATTTAATTTACAGTCTGCCTTAAAGAAGAAATACTGAAAATATTATCTGGGCATATTTGTTTTAAAGATACTAATTTCTGTAAGCTATTATAATTCCCTTTTATTTTCTTTTACAGATAAACCACATGTTTCTTAACTCAGTTATGTGAACAACTTAACAAAGACCTCAAACTTATCTATTAATAAATAAATAAAGCAAAAGCTCACAAGCTCCTGAATACAGCATGACACTGGGTCCACCCAGGACATCCTCCATCCCCACCCACGACAAGAGCAGCATTTGAAGTCTCTCTCCACAGCTCAATGAGGCCCTGGATTAGTTTGAGGATAGGACTGAAGCTTTTACTGCAAAACTACCCAGAAATAAAGAGGAGAAATCAATGGTCTCTCATGTTCTCCAGTTTAACCTGTAAGCTGTGGCAGCCCTAGAACAGCAGATCCTGTTCCCTCAGTGTTTTATAGGTGTTAATCACTGCCTTCTTTTTTTTTGAGACAGAGTCTCACTTTGTTGCCCAGGCTAGAGTGAGTGCCCTGGCGTCAGCCTAGCTCACAGCAACCTCAAACTCCTGGGCTCAAGCAATCCTACTGCCTCAGCCTCCCAAGTAGCTGGGACTACAGGCATGCGCCACCATGCTTGGCTAATTTTTTCTATATATATTAGTTGGCCAATTAATTTCTTTGTATTTATAGTGTATTTATTTGTATTTATAGGGGTCTCGCTCTTGCTCAGGCTGGTTTCGAACTCCTGACCTCGAGCAATCCGCCCGCCTTGGCCTCCCAGAGTGCTAGGATTATAGGCGTGAGCCACCGCGCCCGGCCAATCACTGCCTTCTTATACCCACTGCTCCCACGTGAAGAGCTGGTCAGTCCCTACTGAAACAGCAGCTGTTACACCCCTTACTGAATCAGAAATAGTTTCAGCCTCCAAGTCCTGTACTAGGGACTACAAATGGACAGCTGACTGGGCAGACATAGACTGGGCAGACGAGATTCTCTGTCCTGGGTATTTGTAACTGGGTCTCATAGATTCCAGCCAGTCTCCGTCAGATGCATGAAAACAGACCATGTGAATCAAGGCTGGGATAGCCGTGCATGTGCCAAAGCAGAGAGTGACAATTTGCAGAAAGCAGGAAGAACAAAGCAGAGACATAAGCTGAGAGAAGGAAAGACCACAGACAAAGAGAGCGCCTAAGAAACCTCAGCTCCTGCTTCCAAATCCTTCCAATACATTCCTCTTTTTGCAACTAACTGATGGTCTGTCACGATAAGGCCCTCTTTGGTAACAGATCATTAGTAGAAATGGCAAGTAGCTCATTCTACCTCCCTGTCGTACAAATCACAGAACTACTCTAAGTACACAATAGTAAAAGCTCAAGTAACAACAGTATGGTGGTCCTTTTCTCATTTTAAAATATAAGCCATACAAGCTTACTTTTGTTGCTCCAACCGAAGCCTCTCTTCTTCTATTCGCCTCCTTTCTTCTTCCTCCCGTCTAAGCCTTTCCTCTTCTTCTCTCCTACGTTTCTCTTCCTCCTTTTGAAGACGCTCTCTCTCTTCCTCTTCACGCCGCCTTCGCTCCTCTTCTTCCTTCCTACAAGGTAAAGGACAGAGAGAATGAACCCTATATACAGTCAGGGCTTTTTGTGGGCTTTTGTTTGTTTGTTTAAGCAGGGTCTTGCTATGTTACCCGGGGCCAGAGTGCAGCGGCATCATCATAGCTCACTGCAGCCTCAACCTCCCAGGCTCAAGTGAGCCTCCTGTTTCAGCCTCCCAAGTAGCTGGGACTATAAGTGCGTGCCACCACACCTAGTTAATTTTTTTATTTTTATATTTTGTAGTGATGGGGTCTCGTTATGCTGTTCAGGGTGGTCTCGAACTCCTGGCCTCAAGGGATCCTCCCACACCTGCCTCCCAAAGTGCTAAGGTTACAGCCAAATTGCCACCCAACCAAATCCTATATATTGAATCCTGTTTTAAAATATTTTAAAACATTATTTCCCAGTGAAAACTGACACAACTTTCTGGAGAACAATGTGGCAATATTTAGCAAAATTTGAATTGGGCCGGGCGCGGTGGCTCAAGCCTGTAATCCTAGCACTCTGGGAGACTGAGGCAGGTGGATTGCTCAAGGTCGGGAGTTCAAAACCAGCCTGAGCGAGACCCTGTCTCTACTAAAAATAGAAAGAAATTAATTGACCAACTAAAAATATATATACAAAAAAATGCTGCCGGGCATGGTGGCGCATGCCTGTAGTCCCAGCTACTCGGGAAGCTGAGGCAGGAGGATCGCTTGAGCCCAGGAGTTTGAGGTTGCTGTGAGCTAGACTGACGCCACGGCACTCACTCTAGCCAGGGCAACAAAGTTGGGCTTTTTTTTCAAAAAAAAAAAAAAAAAAAAATTTTGAACTGCATACACTTCATTAGTAGAAACTTCTATGGAGTCAATCCTACAATATAAAGATCACATCAAGAATTACTGGGGTACAGGCCGGGCACGGTGGCTCACGCCTGTAATCCTAGCACTCTAGGAGGCCGAGGCAGGCAGATTGCTTGAGGTTAGGAGTTCGAAACCAGCCTGAGCAACAGCGAGACCCCGTCTCTACTATAAATAGAAAGAAATTAATTGGCCAACTAAAATTATATAGAAAAAATTAGCTGGGCATGGTGGCGCATGCCTGTAGTCCCAGCTACTCGGGAGGCTGAGGCAGCAGGATTGCTTGAGCCCAGGAGTTTGAGGTTGCTGTAAGCTAGGCTGACGCCACGGCACTCACTCTGGCCTGGGCAACAAAGTGAGACTCTGTCTCAAAAAAGAAAAACAAACAAAAAAAAAGAATTACTGGGATACAGCAATAGAAAATGATGTCCATTAATGACATACTACTTAAATCATCATGATATACTTTTACCCTGAAGGATTCCCCTCTAATACAGGCTCATAGCACTAAAAGCTTTTCCTTCATAATACCTGCTGTAGTCATAACTACATTTGTGTGATAAAATGAGCAATACATTGGCCTTGCACATTAAAGTTGAGGCTCCATAAGGACAGAGACTGCCTATCTCACACTGGTATATCTGCAGGCTCAGCACAGTGCTGGAGAGAACAAGCACTTAACAGATGTGTATAGACATGGAAAATTCACCTGGAAATGTCATGCAGCCATAAAAAAAGGATAGAACTACATGGCCTAATATGTAAAGACGGCCGGGTGTGGTGGCTCATGCCTGTAATCCTAGCACTCTGGGAGGCCGAGGTGGGCGGACTGCTCCAGATCAGGAGTTTGAAACCAGCCTGAGCAAGAGCGAGACCCCATCTCCACTATAAATAGAAAGAAATTAATTGGCCAACTAATATATATAGAAAAAATTAGCCAGGCATGGTGGTGCATGCCTGTAGTCCCAGCTATTTGGGAGGCTGAGGCAAGAGGACTGCTTGAGCCCAGGAGTTTGAGGTTGCTGTGAGCTAGGCTGACGCCATGGCACTCACTCTAGCCTGGGCAGCAGAGTGAGACTCTGTCTCAAAAAAAAAATTAAAAAAAATGTAAAGACATTAAATGCATTTGTTTAATGAAAAAAGTAGGTAAATACATACAAAAAAGTCTGGAAGGACAGATGCTAAATTTGTTGGTTATTATCTATGGAAAGGGGAATAGAATTATAAGAAAGGTGAAAAGGAAGATTTTTCAGTGTGTACTTCATTTATTGCTATAAATGAAAAATCATTTATATTGCATATATTTGTATACTGCTTCTGAAATTCTAAAAATTTTGAAAGTTTTTAATTTAAAAAAGAAGAGTTGGACTTCTAGGTGCAACCTTTACCCAGCTTTTGCCTACCCACAAAAGCCTCTTTCCAAAAAGAACAGACTGTATTGCACTAGGAATGGATACCTTATGGATATAAGAGTGGTATGGTGTACAGGGAGGCTAAAGACATCCTGAAGACAGGATGAAAGGGAACATTTCTGAGGACTGTCAGAGAAGACATCATTTCTTGGTCCTATCATGAGAACTCTCTAGGTTACCCCACTTTCCTCCCCTCAAACTCCTACAAGCCATAGCTAAGGCTCAAAATATAGTAATAACATGAGCTACTTTTAATATGTCATAGCTGGTACACAGCAATAATTTTCATAAGCCAGAGTCTAAGCTTCAGGACAGATGAAGTCTAGTCTTAAATGCTTTAAAAGAATTCTATATGTACTTTGTCCCACAACAAAAGTATATTTTTAAAAAGAAAATGCAGTTTTATGTGTTACGATACGCAGTAACTTTTGACAATGCTTAAAGATATATGACTATCATTAAAATAAGAACTTAAAAGCAATATATACACATTTTCAAAGACATTATAGCAATACCCCATTGATCCAACATCACTATACAATGGACTATAGCATATAAATCAATTTTCCAGTTAAAGGAACCTCATTCCATTTTTACAAGAACCAAAACTTTTCCTTTAGATTTAAAAAAAAAAAATCTTCCTTTGGATATATATCTTCTGAATATGTAATTAAGCCATTTCCTATTCTCTTAAGCAGTAATAAATTATATCTAGTGCTCTGTTTCAGAGGTTCTAACTATAAACATAAAAACAGTACTTTTGACCCTTGTGTGACATAAAAAAAAAAAAAAAAAACAGTACTAAGTCAGGCTGGGTGCGCAGTGGCTCACGCCTTTGGGAGGCCAAGATGGAAGGATCACTTGAGGTCAGGAGTTTAAGATGGGCCTAGGCAACACAGTGCGACTCCATCTCTACAAAAAAAAACAATTAGCCAGCCATAGTGCGCACATCTGTAGTCCCCAGCGACTCAGCAGACTAAGGCACGAGGGATCATTTGCGTGCAGGAGTTCAAGGTTCCAGTGAGCTATGAGTCCCATCACTGTACTCCAGCCTGGGCAAGAGCGAGACCCTGTCTCAAAAAAACAAAAACAAAAACCACAACAAAAAAATGTACTAAGTCATAATAATACTGTGATGGAGAATTTATATTCATATTATTAATAAATGGCCCCTGCTTGGCATGCTTTTATAATTCTTGTGTTTCATTTTTCATAGTTTCTACCTTTTCCCTCACTATCAGAGCTATTTTCTTTTCTAATCTGTAATTTCTAATTCAGGTTAAGGTAGGAAACTAGAGAATGAACTGTTTCTAAAGTATAATCTGAGGAAAAACTGTTTTTTTCCTATATAGTTTTCATTTGCCTAGAAATTTTAGATAGTCAAAGCTGTTGAAAATATAACCTCTAGATAAATAAGGTATAACTATAATTCTAATTCATAATCACAACAGGGAATCCCATAAACATAAACAGCACATTCAGGAGCTTCTCCTTCAAACCCTGAAAATAATAAGCCAGCTGTGAGCCAATATGAATGTCTATACAGGCCTACCACATAGCATAGCTTCAGCTATGGTTTCCAAACCACGAAATGGAGCATGAATATTCCAGAAACTCAAGGGAAAGCAGCAAAGGGTATTTCAGACCAGAGGATAGGCAGGAGGGAGTGATTGAGTTTATGGTGGAACTTACTCAGAAACTTAGTGTAATAAGACAAAAGGAACACTGTCATGATGGACAGGGGGTTACTTTTAAAGGTACAGCCAGAAGGAAGCAGCCCTCCTTCCCCACAAAACTCATAAACACTTGCTGACATGAGGGAGCATGAACAACTACCCTAAGAAGTGGGGCTCCACGGGAAGTAAGATCCTGACCTAGAGATGGCACTCGGTAAAGCAAAAGCACCAGTACATGGGACTGCACAGGGGTAAAGTATTCCATGCCCTCAAAGTTCACCTTTTTTTTTCTTGTTCTTCCTTCTCTATTTTGTGGGATGCAACATATGTTGAAAAGAGATGGCAACACCTATTTAAGAGCTTGACAAACTCTACCATGGCATCTTCTTTAGACATGTTTCCCAGGGCTGCCCATTCTCTCCTGTAAAGAATAACAAGAAAAGTTACCTCTTCTTAATAGAATGAGAACTTGATTTAATTTATACCTAAAAATGAGTAATTCTCAATTATAACTAAAATGAAGAATGATGCGAAAGGCTCAAAACTTCAAGTTTCAACAAGTATGTATTAACTTAACTAAATTAGATACGCCACATATAATCCAAACTTTTTTTTTTTTTTGAGACAGCGTCTCACTTTGTTGCCCAGGCTAGAGTGAGTGCCGGGGCATCAGCCTAGCTCACGGCAACCTCAATCTCCTGGGCTCAAGCAATCCTCCTGCCTCAGCCTCTGGAGTAGCTGGGACTACAGGTATGCGCCACCATGCCCGGCTAATTTTTTCTATATATATTTTTTAGTTGGTCAATTAATTTCTTTCTATTTTTAGTAGAGATGGGGACTCGCTCAGGCTGGTTTCGAACTCCTGACCTTGAGCAATCCTCCCGCCTCACCTCGGCCTCCCAGAGTGCTAGGATTATAGGCATGAGTCACCATACCCGGCCTAATCCAAACTTAATTTAACTGCATTGCTGATAACTCCCATACAGCAAAAAGGTATGAATGTTTTATTCTCCTTATATTTTAGCCTCAATTGAACAAAATACTCAATATATTCTTTGTCACAACTCTCTGCATGTCCCAATAAGGGAATCAATAACTACATATTTTAAATGGCTGCTTTTATTATTTAGGAAGAATCAAATGAAGCTGTACTTATGTTCATAATCAGATGAATAAACTTCTTCCACAATATTTAGCCATAAACATCTCCAAGCCAAAAACAGATAACATTTGAAGACTCCAGAAGCTGCAAGCAAAAATGTTTCAGATTTTAGTCTAAGCTAATGAACCAGCTATTCACATCCTAACCAATACACACTGTACCCTTTTCCAGTGTTATTCTTACTAAATTCACTATGCAGCAAAACATTGTTACCTCCTGTCATTCCCCAACACATCAAAGAATCCAACCTCAGGACAAGTGTCTGGATTATATGGGCCCATAAGAACCTGCTTATGCAGTGCCACAAGCTTCAGTTTTTCTTCATAAGTTGGATGAAATGCTTTGCCATCTTTTTCTATAAAAAAAAGAAACACAAAACAATTAGCACTGGCAAAATATATAATTTTCAGCATTATGTACTGCAGGTTTGCTATAACATATGTCACAGGTTGCCTGTGATAGGTATAAACACTATTTTTTTAAGACAGAGTCTCACTCCGTTGCCCCCCGGCTAGAGTGCCGTGGCATCAGCCTAGCTCACAGCAACCTCAATCTCCTGGGCTCAAGCGATCCTTCTGCCTCAGCCTCACAAGTAGCTGGGACTAGAGGCATGCACCACCATGCCCAGCTAATTTTCTCTATTTTTGGTAGAGATGGGGTCTTGCTCTTGTTCAGGCTGGTCTCAAACACCTGAGCTCAAACAATCCTCCCACCTCAGCCTCTCAGAGTGCTAGGATTACAGGTGTGAGCCACCGTGCCCAGCCAATAAACAGCACTATAGTGAGATTTTTATTTTTATTTTATTTTTTTGAGACAGAGTCTCACTCTGTTGCCCTGGCTAGGGTGCCGTGGCATTAACCTAGCTCACAGCAACCTCAATCTCCTGGGCTCAAGCGATCCTTCTGCCTTAGCCTCCTGAGTAGCTGGGACTACAGGCATGCTTCACCATGCCCAGCTAATTTTTTTCTATATATTTTTAGTCGGCCAATTAATTTCTTTCTATTTTTAATAGAGACAGGGTCTTGCTCTTGCTCAGGCTGGTTTCGAACTCCTGACCTTGAGCAATCCTCCTGCCTCAGCCTCCCAGAGTGCTAGGATTATAGGTGTGAGCCACACACCCGGCCTGTAATGAGATTTTTATTTCAATTACTAAATTTTAATAACCAGAGCCTACGACAGAGATCATTTATGCTGAATTTTTTAAAAATAAGCCAACCACCAATATTTATGTTAAAGCTATTACAGAAAAATCTACTCGTTAAGCTGCAGCCAGGCACATATATTTAAGTGTACCACTTGACAACTTTTACACATATTAAAAACAATGTGCAACCACTGGTTTTTAAAATAGTTGTTTTTTTTTTTGAGACAGAGTCTCGCTTTCTTGCCTAGGCTAGAGTGAGTGCCGTGGCGTCAGCCTAGCTCACAGCAACCTCAAACTCCTGGGCTCAAGCGATCCTGCTGCCTCAGCTCCTGGATAGCTGGGACTACGGCACGAGCCACCATGCCCGGCTGATTTTTATTATATATTAGTTGGCCAATTAATTTCTTTCTATTTTTATGGTAGAGACGGGTCTCGCTCAGGCTGGTTTTGAACTCTGACCTTGAGCAATCGCCGCCTCGGCCTCCAGAGTGCTAGATTACAGGCGTGAGCTACCGCGCCCGGCTAAAATAGTTTTTAAAAATAATTTTATATTAGTCATTTTAATATGATCATGCATAACAGATTACATGGACTTTGAAAGACTGTATTCAAAAACATATCCAGGTTCACAAACATATCCAGGCCGGGCGCCGTAGCTCACGAGTGTAATCCTAGCACTCTGGGAGGCCGAGGCGGGCAGATTGCTCGAGGTCAGGAGTTCGAAACCAGCCTGAGCAACAGCGAGACCCGTCTTCTATATAAATAGAAAGATTAATTGGCCAACTATATATAGAGAAAAAATAAGCCGGGCATGGTGGTGCATGCCTGTAGTCCCAGCTGGGAGGCTGAGGAAGGAGGATCACTCGAGCCCAGGAGTTTGAGGTGCTGTGAGCTAGGCTGACCCATGACTCACTCTAGCCTGGGCAACAAAGTGAGACTCTGTCTCAAAAAAAAAAAAAAAATTAGCCAGGCATGGTGGCGAATGACTGTAGTCCCAGCTATTCAGGAGGCTGAGGCAGGAGGATTGCTTGAGCTTAGGAGTTTGAGGTTGCTATGAGCTAGGCTGATGCCACGGCACTCACTCTAGCCTGGGCAACAAAGTGAGACTCTGTCTCAAAAAAAAAAAATACATATATATATATCCATCCCAGAGTTAGTATACTGTGGCAGAAGGGGCTTTAGAATCAGATGGCCTGGCTTTAAATCTCATCTGAGACATTTCCTAGCTGTGCAACCATTTAACCTCTCAATTTGTTCATCGATAAAAATAAAGTGAGGATTACACTGCTACTTCAGAGGTAATGGGATATTATTATTAATAATATTAGATGTTTTGTCTTCCTTTATATTATGATTAGCTCTGGCAGATTTCCACATGGGCAATTAAGAATGAAGCCAGTTTGACCTATAAAGACTAACTGCAATCAACATTCAAAATCAGTATGAAATTGGGTGCTGGGAAAATGAGAAATCCTTAGAGACTAGTTCTAATTCTTTGATAAATGGTAGCATTAATTATTGGTTGATTCTAATGATAACATACTACCCAATTAAAAAAAAAGAGTAGAAAGTAGTATATACTGCCTACATGCCACTAATTAGTGAGAAGAATATGGGTTGAAGGATATTAGCAGAAAACTCAGAGAAGAAAAAAAATACAGAATTTGCCAACAGACATCCAAAAAGATATTCAACCTCATTAGTCAAGGAAATACAAATTAAAACCATTAGCTACCAAGATCCCCTCCTCTCACTGACAGGTCAAAAAGAGTTAGATACCATCTGGTAAGAATGGGACAAACAGGTACCCACTCTCACATACTAATGTTAAAATATAAATGGTTATAGTTATCTTAAAGAGCACTTCAGCAATATATAGTCCCACCTTTTCTCCAGTGTTAACTTGAAATCATGGACAGTATCAAACCCTGTATGTTTTTTCCTATACATACATACCTATAATTTATAAATTAGGCACAGTAAGAGATTAACAATAGCTAATAATAACATAAAAATTATAATATGCTGTAATAAAAGTTACACGACTGTTGTCTGTCTCTCTCAAAATATCTTACTGTACTGTATTCACCTATTTTCAGATCTCAGTTGACCCCAGGTAACTGAAACCATGGAAAGAAAAACCATGGATAAAGAGGGATTACTGTATTTCAAAATTGTAAATGTGCATGCCCTATGATTTGGTAATTCCAAATCTCATTGGAATTAAGCACTCCCAAATATATAGGAGGAAGCAGATACAAGGGCATTCATTGTAGCACTGTTTTCTTATTACTGAAAGCAACTTAAAAGGCCATCAATAAGGAAAAACAGAATAATGTGGTACAGGCATGTGCCACATAATGAAATTTCAGTCAAGGACAGATTGCATATACAACGGTGGTCCCATAAGATTATAATGGAGCTGAAAAATTCCTATGGCTTAGTAATGCCCTTGTACACATTACTCATGTTGTTTATGGCAATACTGATGTAAACAAATCTACTGTGCTGCCAGTCGTAGAAAAGTATAGCCCATACAATCATGTACTGTACATAGACTTGATAATGACAAACACCTATGTTACTGGTTTATGTAATTATACTTTTTATCATTATTTTAGAATGTACTCCTTCTACTTATTAAAAAAACCCCACGTAGGCCGGGCGCGGTGGCTCACGCCTGTAATCCTAGCTCTCTGGGAGGCCGAGGCGGGCGGATTGCTCAAGGTCAGGAGTTCGAAACCAGCCTGAGCAAGAGCGAGACCCCGTCTCTACTATAAATAGAAAGAAACTAATTGGCCAACTGATTGATATATATATAAAAAATTAGCCGGGCATGGTGGCGCATGCCTGTAGTCCCAGCTACTTGGGAGGCTGAGACAGAAGGATCGCTTGAGCCCAGGAGTTTGAGGTTGCTGTGAGCTAGGCTGACGCCACGGCACTCACACTAGCCTGGGCAACAAAGCGAGACTCTGTCTCAAAAAAAAAAAACAAAAAACAAAAAACAAAAAAACCCCACGTTAGTTGTACAACAGCCTAAGGCAGGCCCTTCTGGAGGCATTCTGGAAGAAAGCCTGGTTATCACAGGAGATGACACCTCCATGCGTGTTACTGCTCCGAAGACCTTCCAGTAGGACAAGATGTAGAGGTGGAGGCAGTGATACTGATGATCCTGACCCTGTGTAGGTGTAGTCTAATGTGTATGTTTGTGTTTTAGTTTTTAACAAAAAGTTTAATAAAAATAAAAAATTTTAAAAATAGAAAAAGCTTATAGAATAAGGATATAAAGAAATATTTTTGTATGGCTGTATGGTGTGTTTGTGTTTTAAGCTAAGTGCTATTACCACAGTCAGAAAGTTTTTAAAAATTTAAAAGTTTATAAAGGAAAGTTACAGTAAGCTACGGCTAATTTATTATTGAAGAAAAATACTTCTTAATAAATTTAGTGTAGCCTAAATGTACAGTGCTTATAAAGTCTACAGCAGTGTCCTAGGCCTTCACATTCACTCACCACTCACTCACTGACTCATCCAGAGCAACTTGCAGTCTTGCAACCTCAATTCATGGTAAGTGCCCTATACAGGTGTACCATTTTTTTCTCTTTTATACTACGTTTTTTTTCTTTTTTATTCTTACTGAAGCTTTTTCTATGTTAAGATAATGCTTGGACATATAAATACTTACCACTGTGTTACAACTGTCTACAATATTCAGTACCGCAACATGCTGTGCATGTTTGCAGTCTAGGAGCAAGGGGCTATACATATAGTCCAGGTGTACAGTAAGCTATACCATACAGGTTTGTGTAAGTACACTCTATGATGTTTGCACAACAAAATCACCTAACAATGCCCACCAATGTATGTCTTAGAATGTATGCCCATCGTTAAGTGGCATATGACCATATATTCAGACTGTGGTACAAATGAAACAATTGTACAAAATACTGTGACTTGAGAAACGCAAGCTGCAGAAAACCACATATGATCATAGAACACAATATATTTAATCAATTCTAAGCATATTCCCACACACATTTGAACATCTTTAAAAATCAGATAAGGTTTTATAATCTATAGTATTTTATAGTTACTAATCAGCAGTTTTTCTTTGTTAATGGCATGTAAGATAATAACCTTAGAAGAGAGGGAATAAAGCATGTTAAACACATCCACATACATATTCTATTAGTACATTCATGTGAATGTAAG